ATATTTGTCCCAATAGTTTAGGAAAAAGAGACAATCAATTGCTTAGAAAGATGCGCAAATGTCCACTAATAGCAAAACGGTAGTACACATTTGAAGGATTTGTATGAACTGTATGTGGATAGGATTCCTTGCCTAGCAAATTTAGTGATTCAGAAATAGGAGACGGGCTGCCTGCGTTTAGAATTAAATTGGATAAGATTGATTCAGTCTGAGTCATGTACAATTTACTTCAGTATCTTTTGATTAAATCGATAAATCGAGCCATAGCTTCTCTTAGATCAAAAATTTTGGAAATTTGAAATGAATTGTTCTTGAGACATGTTATTCCAACTTTGATATGTATATGACATAGTTCCCTTGCGGAACCATTTGATTGATTCAGGGAAAAAGAATTCTTTAGAAAATGAAACGATGGTAAAATACTCCTTATTAATGCAGCAACGCTGTTTCTAGGCTTAATAAGCTGCCTAATTAACAGCAACATTACAACACATTCTGCTTATGATATTATACCTACATATGATTCAAATGTAAGGCCCAAATAGTAATTGCAAAACCCTTGTAGAAACTAAACTTATATAATAACTCGACGTAATAACTTTCTAATTTCATTAAAAAAATTTAATTATATACATTAACTATAATCATAACAACGCTCCGGCATTTCCTGCTATGTAGCTTATGAGTCCTTACATAAATCTCGTATACTTACGTTATAGAAGCCTGTCCATTTTCCAATGTTACATAAGTCATTAAGTCGTAAATCAAAAGCCGTTTATAACGCGACCGATAGTTGTATTGAATGTGCACCTGAAATGCAATGTAAAAATCCGTTCCATATGGGCGAAAGGCGAAATCTTATGGAGACTTGAAAACAATAGAATAATAGTTTTCAACCACCTAAGAGTCGGCGGTTCTCAATAGAAAATACATACACCAGGTTCATTATGAAATTGTGATTAGAATTTTTTAAATTTCATCGAATTAGTGTCATAATGAATGAATTCATTAGGTACATATCATCGAATTGGTGTCATAATCATGTACTTAGTAGTTACCTAACTACAATGTCATTAAATGAGATTTAATGAATCTGGTGTTGTATCTATTGAACCACTGACTCGTTAAGTAGTTGAAAACTATTGTTCTGTGTTTTCAAGTCTCCATAAGATTTGTTGTGAGCAACTTTCGCCCGTATGGAACGGGTTTTTACATTGCATTTCAGGTGCATACTGAATACAACTAATCGGTCGCGTTATAAACGGCTTTTGATTTACGACTTAATGACTTATGTAACATTGGAAAATGGACAGAGAGGTATACACTAGGCTATAATTTTAAATTAGGCGTTTGCACATCATTTCAGGTCTATTGAAATTTCAGAATATGGTACAGCCAGCTGTACTCCTAAGAGTATTTGTAAAAAGGTTTGAAAAAGATCTCGAATGCTTGTGCGATTAAATGGCGATTTCTAAAACTTCTAAAGAATATTGAAGCAGTGTCTACAATTCTTAAGACATTTTCGCAGATTTCTTTTCTAAACAATCTTAGGATAAATAAAATCGAGTTTCAGACAAGGCATAGCTAATACCCCGACAACTATAAAAGATAATTATCATTCATTAGATCACTCAGATATAATTAAAGATCTGAATTGGAAACGCTTCTTTGCAAAACAAGCTAAATGTTACAAACGAATAGTTGGAAAAATATCTTCATAGAGATTCTTAGAGTCTTCTCCTGTTTCTGAGATCTAAAAATTGTTTATAAGGACATTCTTAACACAAAATTTATTATTCAGTGTAGTAATGATTCTATAGAGTTTTAGATTAGATGATTTTGAAGAAAATCAGAGCAAGTTATCCACGGTTGCAAAAGAGATAATTGTTTTTATGAGGATTACGAGGATGTGATGCAAACTATGCACATCCCCTGCAAACCGATATTTACCATGCTAAAAGGGCAGAATCGAAAAAAAGACGCCGTTAAGTAACTATTTCGTATGTAATTGTTGGTAAGGTAAATTACTGCCAAAATTTGTTTTTATTTTCCATTACAATTACCTAGACTCTTTTTTTCCTTTTCTGAAGTGTCTCGCCCCAATTGAAGATGGATATGGTTCATTTTTAGGAAACTTTCTATTAGAATATGTGTGCTTGGACATCAGTAAGGCTTTTGTCACTGTAAATCACGAGCCAAACTGTCATAATTATGGTCGCTCTCGGAGCGTTACTAGTTGGTTTCGCAATTACATGACGAACAGAAAACAATCTCGCAGGCCGCGTGATACGTACGCACCGTTTAGGTCCGTGAATAAGGGCGTCTCGCAAAGGACAATATTAGGTCAAATACTGTTTCTGATTTATGCGAACGATATCACCCTAATTTGAACCCTAAGAAAACGGTGGTTATTTGTGTTGGAGCATCAAATATTAGAGAGGAATGCATTGCGAATAAGCATAGAGAAATTACTTTACAGGCTCATACATTGACAAAAATTTCAACTTCGAATCGGGAAACTGAAAGCGTTATATGAATTTAGGGATTTCTTGAACGGACCACTAAAATATTCTCTGACAAATTCTTTGATTCAAAGTCAGTTGGACTACGGTCTACTTGTGTACTTTCCCTACCTGACAGCAAGAATTAAAAACTCAAGTTCTTCAGAATGCATGTTTCAGATTTTCATTCTATGTACCAAGGGGACATCCCTTTAGTCCGTATTATAATAAATATAAGATTCTTAAGTACGACGGGAAATTTGTTCATCGTCTATTACAGTTTGTCTATAAGTTATTATTGTATAAACAACCATTATACCTTTTCAATTTATTAACTTTTATAACGTCAAAAATGGAATACAGAAACAAATTGTTATCCATCCCTGCCTTTAAGTACGAGAAGTTTAAGGGCAGCTTTGAATATAATGCTTCAGTGCACTACAATAAATATGTAGTTACCTATTTGTGAAATGTAAGTATCCTCACACGTTTAAACTTAAGCTATTATGATAAACTAATGGAATTACAGAACTTGTAATTTTGGGGGCGATGAAAACCAGCATGCTGACCTGTCCCCTTTTGAGATATATGTATTGTATATTACAATATTGTATTATTTTACATCTCAATAAATGATATTATTATTATTTAAAGGATTTAAAATTTTTGAAAACGCGATTTCTAATTAGGTTTTCGCGAGGGTTTTCGAGACAATTTTTGGTTAAATTCCAGGTAATTTAACAAAATCTGCACGTCCTATAAAAGGTACTTCGAACGCCTCAGTGGATAACGTTTCTTGACTATTGCAAATATCTCCAGCGTATAGTACCAAAAATAAGCTATACTGATTCTGACATTTTTTTATCAGCTTCTTCGAAGCTGTGGGCGCACAGATCATTGACGAAACAAGCATTTCCTATTCCCCTCCTAAATCAAGGTATGCACGCGTTGGTTACACAATTTAGTTCTTTGATACATTCGTCATGTCCAAAATAAAGAGGAAATCATTTACTCAACAAAGTTATTGAACCATTTTCCTTGCAGTGGCATCCATTTGTCACTCTTAATTATGTTTGAGCTTATAAAAATGCGGAAATCAGAAAGCCGAAGCTGACGAGATAATAACAATAAATTCGCATACGTTTATTTACCTTGAGGTGATTTAGTGAAATAAATTATGACATTTTCTCCGCATATTCGATGGCAGAATGTGGCGCAATTCGACTATAATTCATTGAATGTAAAAATTATTTTGTTTTGAGGTCTTCCAGTTGTGAAAGTGTTAGGTGGTAAGGATTCACAGCGACCGTATGTAATAAATTTGGGATTAATACCTTTCGAAAAATAGATTGAATCAAATTTTTCCAACTCGCGGCTGAATAAACAAAGTTTTTCAAAATAAGATATATAACGATGATAGAAAGGAGCGAGAGGTTGTGTAAGCATAACCAGAAGAGCTTGATCTGAATGAACCTCTCTACTTTGCTCTGGGAAATATCTCCCTTATTAATATCCCAATTAGGGGGTCTTCAGAACTGGTCCAATTTGGTGGTGGTGACATTCGGAACCGATCTTTGGCATTACACTCAATAAGAAAAGGTCTCTTAATGGCGGAAAAATATTTTTTTTGTAGAGCGGACCTGAAGAAGAAAACTTTAAAGAGCAACAAGATGAACAACTTTTTCGTAATATTATAACAAAAGCAAATTAGATTCCTTTGATAAGCCAAAGCAATATGTAAACTGAGAGCAAATATCAGTTGGTATAACTGTGTTCAATAGTAAATTATTGCCCTGTAAAAAGTTCCATTAGCCTAACGACGTGAAGTAGATTTAAAGCCACAACAAACACTCACAATAATCTTGTAAACCTAAAAATATCGCGAAGTGAATACGTGCGGAATTAGACTGGCGAAAAAAACAATTCAAGTATATAAATTAATCAAGAATTTCCAAAATTTCAAGATTCCATTTTGTACTCCTTTTTACCTTTGCACGCAATAGGTGGGTCAATTACAGGTTGCAGTTAAAATTACAGTAGCAATGGTATACATCGTCGCAAATTTCAATCTTTTGAGGCAACTCTGATCCCAGTTCAAATTTTGCCCTGGATTATGGTCCACGAAGCAGAAATTTGCGATTTGCAAGTGGTCAGACCATAAAATACAGTTATTTGCTGCTAAATTAAATTTGCAAAGCGATAAATTACAAGAAAAAGTTGTCATTTCTAAGCTTCCGTTGATAATAAAATCAGAAGACACACTTGATGCGATTATTCTAACGGCTTACGTGGTTTACAGTGAAAACTGTCCACAAAAATATGAAATCCACGTGCGCATTTTTTCTAATTTAAATTACCAGCTAAGCGGCCGTAACAGTGTAAATTTAACACCCACATCACGACATTCACATTGGTAAAAGCAATTATTTAACCAAAATAACGTAAATAAGCCTACTCCTTTTGGCAAATTGTCTTTCAATAATATATCAAATGGATTACCTGTTTTTCCTACACCTGGTGCGCCGATCACAGCAACTTTAACTTCGGAGAGTGAAGATTTTTTTCTACGTATACTTTTACTATTCATTATGTCGCGAATTGGTATTCAAAAGGCGCGTAACATTACTACTTACACGAGAAATTTTTCGTAACAATTTTTGTGTAATAGCGGTATCGATGCGTCTATTATAAAAGTATGTGTAGCAATAACTGCAGTCGACGCCGAAACACTTAATGTATTCCAAGTTCTTTCTAAATATATCTATAGTGTATAGTAGGAATTTATGGCATTACGCACCGCACGGACGCTTTTTACAATACATGTGCGTGATACTTTTTTTGTGTTTCTAATTTTTTTTTCGTCTAGGATGTATGAACGCCAAGCTTGACGACCTTAAACTAAAAGTAATAAATAGAATTAATTCGAGTGAAAATTGCGAGGTTGCACATCTTCCATTTCTGGCCCCTTCATTTTCATAGTGCCACATGAAGAATAGGAAATCGGTTTTCGAAGTGATTGTGTCATTTGTAACGCCTACTTGCCAACATCAGGTCAAAAAACCTCTAACGAACATTATTAAATTCCTTTTAATGGCTAATAATTTGGGGGGATTCCAACGATTCGCATGGATACGAAAGGCTACAGGCAAATCTTTACCTAACAATTTTGTACTCATTTAAGAAGAAGTTAGTTTTATGTCGTTTCGTTACAAACTGTTATACATTGAACGTTCAAGACAGAGTCCCCAATGTTGAAAGCAAGTTTTAAGTGTTGTACTTATTTAATTGTAATCTCTGAATTAAACGCGTGTACAGATACACAAGGTATAATAAATGCAACCCCTATTGAACACAAAAACTAAAACTAAAAATTTGCCGATGCATTTTCACAAGTTGTGGGTGATATTCAAAGCTTGAGCTAAGTAGATATTGCAATCACCGTCAAAATTTCATTAAATGTCCAAGTTTTAGATCATTTTAAGTAAGTTTTAAAGACAAACAAAAAATTGTCTGTATTTACTAAATGCTCTTAAATGATGTTGGAAATCAATAAGCCCTTTAAATGCTCTTACAAGTTCTGTATATCATAGTGTATCTATTCTTACATCATGTGTATATGTATAAGCGTTGACTGATTTATCAGTCAACGGTATAAGTAGGTACATTGGCAGCTCTCTGAGATAACGGATCGACCGATTTTGTTCAAATCTTGGATATGTACATTAAACGAAAAATAACGGGCCGAACTTTTGAAACAAAAATTTGGACCGCCGCGACGGCATCGAACTTTTTTTTCAAATAGCATACATACACATACGATTTTTATTAAGTTATTGGGAAGACTTTATTTTTCTATGTATAACCTATACAAATTAAGTCAGGTCTAATTACAAAACAAACGGAGAAAAAAGTTACAAAATTCGTTCAGCCGCTTTTGAGCAAGAGGGGAAGAGTTCACCTTCAAATTTGTTTTTTTCAATTTGAATATCCCTTATGGACATTTCATGCCATAACGAGAATACAAAAATGTAATAATTTTTAATTTCTGATCGAATGACACCAATACCAAGTCTGTAAGTGGTGTAGTTCCAGAGTCTTTGTGCCGTTACTTTGATTTCGTTAAAATTTTGCAAATGTACATTAGGCGTAGAAGATGTAAGACTGTCAAAACGTTTTTTTTTAAATTTGAGTCTTTAGTGCATGGTTAATATTTAGAATGAGTGATTGCTTGACAGGTTCAGTCGTTGCTTTCTTTTTAGTTTTAATGCGAACAATATGAAAATATCAACGTGCAAGAAAGGAATACTTTAAAATGAAGTTGTTGTTGTGTTGTTTTTGTGGTGCACCGCAGAAGCTCCCCCCTCTCACTCATACTTTAATAACCCGTAACCTATGCAATTCCACCTGGGCCGTAAGTACCCAGTCCGCCCCTGCCTTAAGGCAACCTTCATAATAATTAATAGATAAGATAGGTAATTAAAAATTACCCGATTTCTAATTGTTATCATTAGCGTTAGTATATTATAATGAATAATGATAAAAAAGCAAAAACAAAGTGGCTAAAACATTAATAAAACTACGTACAATAAATCCCCGCGGTTAAGCTTCAAAAAATTCAGCGAATGGTGCAGCCAATATAACGCAGTCGATATTTTACACTAAATTTAAATTGGTTCTTGTAATGATCATTTAAAAACCCAACGTAACTGATATAGGCCTAATATAGAGATTGATACCAATGTAATGTAAACGGGAGACAAAAAGTGTCAACCCATTAATGCAGACAAATTATTTAGATCGGAACTCAATGCGCAAAGTGGTTTCGAGTTTAATAAATCTTCAATTTGTATCGAGATCTTTAGTTCTTCATAAGTTATAATAATTGCGAGCCTATAACTTTGGAGAGATGTGTTGTTATCCCTACAAAATGAAGGCGAAGGGAGGGTTAAGAACTCCTTTAATTTACTTCTTCAGAAACATATTTTATTATGATATGAAAATAATACTTATTAGCTCCAATAAAATTAGTGCTATTGTGGGTAATTATTCGTACGAGGCTTTATAGTTATAAATCGGTACACGCAAATGTACCTACTCTATAATGGTAGTCTTCATCAGATATATTTTGAGCAGCTATCGTCGAATCAGATTCTCGTTGTCAGGTAAAGAAAGGAACGTAACGAAAACGTGAAAAAGATGAGGCAAAGGGAACACTAGAAACGACTACAACGCTGTAGATAGTTAAACGAACTATACGAAGCATAAATAGAAAAGAGCAAGAACTGGAACAGAAGAAAAAAATCGGATGCAGAAAGGAATGGTCAGCGGAAAGAGTTTCAGAACTTTTAAAACAATTTTAAGGACCTTCTGAAGTTTTATAGTTGAATCTGTCCGTTTCTAAGGGGTTCTTAATTGGTCGTGACTGAACGTGAATACCTACCTTTAGACCATGCTTAATTGATTCAGGTATTTTCTTTGTTTTTAACTTATTTATACAGGGTGGTGCCTAGCGCAACGCAGCATAGGGATTTCAATGGTAATTTCTTTATAGTCAATTACTAGCTCCCCTAATTGTTTTCGAGCAAAAGTCTAAATACGTTTTTTTTTAGAGAAAAAAATACTGCATCTGTTCATACTTTTAGTTATAATTTTCCGTTTTTCAAAATCGTAGAAATCGACAAAATAAAAAATTACATTTTTATAAATCAGTGACGCTTTGGAATCTTTTAGCAAACTACAAGCGCATCGCATCTAAGTTATCGTTGTTTGACGTCGAACGATTTTCATATTTAATTCTGTTTCAACTAACCGACGCAATAAAAGGCATCTTACGGTAATGTTTTTTTAGATAACGTATGCTGCATCTGCATCAGATACTATTTGTTTATCATTTTCCGGAATCAGAGTACCTATATAATTGAAGAAAAAAAACTGATTTGAAGAAGATTTGTTCCTAAACTTATATTCCGATTTTCCGCTACTGCAGCCAAAACGTTGAATGTATTGTCGTTTTGCTGATGGTTTTCACGCACATTTTGAACGTTATTGCACTTGCAGTTCTTTAACTAATTTATAAACAAGTATAAATTTAATAAACGTCAAAGGCAAATAATGAAACGTGATCACTGTTTTTTTATGTAATTCCAAGGCATATTTGATTTATTGTAAAATGAACCTTTTTATTTTGTAGATTTGTACGGTTTTGAGAAACGGAAAATTATAACTAAAAGTATGAACAGATGCAGTATTTTTTTCTCTAAAAAAAACGTATTTAGACTTTTGCTCGAAAATAATTAGGGGAGCTAGTAATTGACTATAAAGAAATTACCATTGAAATCCCTATGCTGCGTCGCGCTAGGCACCACCCGGTATATCAATTTTAATGTAAATGTTCTACAATTTAATTATATATTTCATTCATGATTTTACCGACGTATGGGTTTTATATCACATTAATTTTCGTACTCTGTTACAGATTGGACAGTAGCTTTATGCTTAAATAAAAAATATATGTACTTATTCATTTTTAACCATCTTAAGACGGTAATGATTTATTATATTCATGCAACATGTACTGTAAACCATATTTATAGCACGGCCTGATGATGGGCAATATGCCCGAAATCGATCGCCATTAAATAAACTTTTTAAATATTTGCCTATTCTTCCATATACTTACCTTTGTTATACGCTTGAAGAAAGTTGAGGAATATTATAAACTTATTTCCAAAGTGGCGAGCCTTCTCAAACTCAAACTGTGCGAAATTTGAAAAATTGACAAAAAGCTGCGATTTGACGCCATTGGACTATTACCTTTGGGGAGCGAAATTGTTTTTCATAAACAAATGTTATAAACCAACTTTTTAAATAAATGTTCAACCGTTGAAAAATATTGAGCCGTTTTTTTTATAGCAAAATGAAATTAGAATTTTAAAGGCTAGTAGTGTGTTTCAAAAAAATTCCTTAGGTTTCCGCCATCACCCCTGGTACGTTTGCTTAACCTAATTATTCTCGTTACAGACGTGCATTAGACTTTGGATATGAAGGTGCAAAAACGCTAAATGACAATTTCCAAATTAAATTAGCATGTTAAATGCGTAATTATTTCTCAATTCCAAATTTAAAAATGTAAACCTCGTGTCAATCACGAAAGAGTGGGAATTAACTTTAGAAAAAAAAAGTAGAAATACAATGGTCAGAGGTCAAAACAAAAACATAGTAATCTACGTAACGGTTCGAATGACAACATGGTCGAGGTAAAGGGAAGGATTAAAGAATTTGGTTAAAATGTCAAAAGAAATATATTTAGTAGGACTACTAGGAGATAGGAGTAGTATTACAATTTACAATATAGAAAAGACAGAAGAGGTCAAATAAGTAAAAAGAAACTTGAAAATAGAAAAAAACCGCACGGTATGACGAAATAGTAGCGGAGATGCTAACGAACCTACAAAAAATATGTAAACAAATACCCGTAAGAGTTTAATAAATCCTGGACGAACGGGACAATTCAGGAACTATTCAAATGTCTCGAAGTGTCGCCAGCGGTCGTCTGAAGACTTTGAGGGTCTTTAAAAACCTCTAACACACCCCAGGAGTGCTTGAGCGACTTGAACACAAGAGTCAGTATGTGCGTTATGATCCCTTAAATAGTTTTAAACCTTTGTTTGGAGTTTAAAAAGTTTGTAGGAGTCTTGAGTACCGCAAACCGTCTTCAACAATCTCCAAGGAATTCAAAGGGTCGGCAAGTGTCTTCTAGAAGATTGTTTCATCTCGCTCAGAGAGCTATCTGATCCTTTAAGAGAGCCTCAAAGGCTATTAAAACATTTTTTTATCAGATTTTAAAGTCGAATCTGTTGGTTTCTAAGGGTTTCTTTAGTCTTTGAGATCTTTGGAGTTTTTATTAGCTAGTGACGCAGTTAACTCTATCTCATGGTTGGAGGAAAAAGAATAAACAAGAATTTAGAGACGTTCAAAAATAGTTGCTTTGATCTTCGGGAATATTTATTAATTAAGCACTAAAACGCGACCTCCCGGATAGTTGAGGCTGTAAAACAGAATAAAATTTTACAGCGTCAAGGTAAGATGCGGAGTAAATATTTATGCACATAATATTACCTGCAGCGCGTATTTAATTCTTAATTAACTCATTACGATACCTCGTGCCGGGTTTTGTTATGCTCAACCATGGTATATATTATGTACAATGGTTCAACGTTTCAGCAAGTCGCGGCATAGAAATGGCATCTACACGAGTTGTGCTATACATTCTTTCTCTTACGTGTATGATTGTATCATTTATGATGCGCTCAGTCATGAGTTTCGCAATCTTAGCAATGGTCCGGGAGGAAAACACGACTGGTGAGATGTTCAACTACACACAGCAACTTTGCACTTGGAATGTTAATACCACAGCGGCAAAAACTGTACGAGCCGGTCTCTGAAGCAATTACTCTAGTCACGTTTTAGAGCTATGGAGGTGTACTTAATTGGTCATTAAATGTACAGTATTACATTTTATCGTCTTTTTATTGGACGTATATAACCGCACAGCTCGTGGGTGGATACACTGCACAAAGATATGGTTCAAAATTGGTGGTAGGTTTGGGTGTCTTAGTAAGTTCGATTTCCATTATCTGTATACCGCTGGCAACTGTGAACGTTGTACTGGTAATAATTCTCCAGTTAATCCATGGATTCGGACAGGTTTACTATATGACATTTTGGCGACACCATGCAGTAAGCTTTTTCAGGGAGTAATATGGCCAGCATTGTATGGCGTAATCAGCTGGTGGATTCCTATGAAGGAAAGAAGTAGGTTTGTCACGTGCTTCCAAGGAATGTCAGTTGGCACAATGATTTCGCGAAGCACGGCCGGCCTAGTTATACAAGCCTTTGGATGGGAGTACGTCTTTTACATTTTCGGAGTAACAGGTAATATTTCAACTACGCCGTTAATGCTGATACTTAATTTTGTTAGGTCTGCTATGGTGTTTCGCTTGGTATACATTAATGTATAACAAACCCGAAACGCATCCAAGAATAAATTTAGTTGAATTAGCCTATATTCAGACAAAAAGGGATCAATCACTAAACGGCGGTAAGGGTGAGGTGCCATGGCTGAAAATATTTTGCTCGCTACCAATGTGGGCAATTGCGATTTCTTCTTTCGGCAGGATGTGGTTTGCATCAGTAATAATGATGTACGGTCCCATGTATCTCAAAACGGTAATAGGTCTAAATGTGCAAATGGTAGGTAAAAACATAACGTTGCCGTTACATTGTAATTTTACAGAATGGATTACTATCGAGTACAATTTCGTGTGCAACTTTTTTCGCTTCGATCATCTTCTCGTTTATATCTGACAAAATCTCGACTCATCAATTACTCTCCACTATCACGAATCGCAAACTGTTCACGGCGATAGGTGAGCGGAAATTATACTGAACTCTAAACAGGAGGTTTTAGGGCACATCATCCCGGGAGTATTATGCATTTCAATGAGTTATTCAGGTTGTAACCAGAACATAATCATAGCAGTTTGGGCACTTGTGCAAATAGCCGCTTCGGCATGTTTTGCGGGTGCCATGGTTAACACTGTAGATATCGCACCCAATTTTACTGGTCCCGTTGCGAGCATAATACAAACTATTATGGTGACCCCAGACATTTTATCGACGATGGTCGCGAAAAACTTTCTCCAGCAGGGGGTAACGATCTTGTTATCTTCTTTAAATATGTTTCGATGATGATTTCAGAGCAATTTGGACTCGTGGAGGAATATATTTAACATCTCCGCAGGGATGTATTTCGGGACATATTTATTTTATCACTTATTCGCCTCGGCTGATGTAGGTTATTCGTAAAATACTGAGACATTTTCGTTCATTTGTTTGAATAGGTACAAACGTGGGACAAGGCAGTTTCCAACAAAAATGACGTTGAGGAATCGGAAGCATTTAAAGTAATATAAAACTTTTTTGAAACGGTCATTTGACTTGAATTTTGTGACGCAGTACAGTAACATTAAAACTGTCTTAGATAACCTTTTTAAGTTAATAGTTTTTCAACCAAATATACACTGTGTCTAAAATAAGGATATGTCCTACCATGAGGATCTCGTAAACCGTTGAAGACACAACGATGGCTAGGTTAGGGACAAGTTGCCCAATTAAACAGTTATTTTCCTGCTGTAAAAAAAACCCTGAAAATTCCGATTACTTCCGAAAGTATGCGAGAAAAGCCGAAATTTGCCAGTTTTGTTTGTATTTCACATCAAAAATTGTACTATAATCTAAGGACTTAAAAATTGTGGACATTTATTATGTTTAATTTACTACACAATATCTAAAAAATGCATAATTTCCAATTTCACACGAAGATGGAGAAAAAATATTTTTTTGTTGATTTTTTCTGTATTCTGTGTTCAATATGTGTGATTATAGCACTTGTTCTAACTAGTACCAGGCAATCGTGATCCAATTACTTGTATTACTTTGAAAAAAGCTCAAAGCTTACTTTCAGAGTAATCGTCCGTTGCGCTTTTTGAAAAGCGCAGGATTTTTTGTAATCTCGAGCACTTTGGCAATCGTGAACTTTTTTATTAATAGCGAGCTCCTGCTTGTTGCAATAAACTTTGTTTTTCGTTTATATAAAGAGTAGAAAATAATAGTGCACAGTGTACTATTGGACAAAGGATGATCGCAATCACTAATCAGTAACCGATTACTATTTGTAAGAGCTCGAACCAGCTTGCTTTCAATGAAGCTTTTACTTTGGGTCAGTAGATACAGAAAAGTTTAAACATTTCACGTCTCATTTGTATTGGTTACAATAAAAGTAATCACCTCTAATTGCACGATAATTAGTCTTATTAGTTATTTATGCATCAAGGGCATTAAGGTGATATTTATGCCGAGGGCGACAGAGCCCGAGGGCCTCCGGCCCGAGGGATTCTAAGTCGCCCGAGGGTTAAATATTGAGTAATGCCTGAGGTGCATACAACATTTTATTTTTCATCGTTCCAAAGAATGCATTTCCAATATACAAACGTCATGATTATTGTTTTCCCAACATTAAAGTGCTTCATACGAATCAAGTTGCATCTTTTTTATGACATAATATAACTCCGTCAATCAATTTGACAGGCCGTTTGAGGGCATAATGAGATGACAATCCATTATGCCCTCTCATTATGCCCTTGGGCGTAATAGACTGCTTCATATATCACATATGACAGATATAATTGACATATAATAGGCAAATGAAAAATAAAATAATTTACGTTTTATTATCCCAAGTTCTAAACTACCCGAGTTGGATGGCCCGCGGGCCTATAATGAGTATTCTCACTTATAATATATATCCAAGTTGATAAATTGTAAAAAAAAAACTTGACACACATAACTAGCAGAAGTCGTTTACGGAGCTGGACCTGTTTCCTCATAAATATGGAATTTGACGTGAGGATTTATTTTTTAGTAATTGCGAGAGTAATTGTTTACTGTCATTGTGCTAAAATATGCAAAATAAAACATTTTTTTGTACGAAATGGATACGAATTTTTTTACAGAAATGCTCCCCACAAATGTGATTTACTAAAAGAAATATAATGTTGCTTTCCCATTTTGTTCAAGTTTTGGGGCCGAATGTGTATTTACCGGTTTTTTGCTTGCATTGTTTATTTATTTATTTTTTTTTTATTTATTTATTTTTGTTGTGAATATACATTATGTATTTACAAACGTCATATAAATAACAAAAAGCTTAAAAATGTTTTCAGTCGCCTATCTTAATATCCCCGATGTCTGTGTCACTTAAAAACTCATCTACTGTGTAGTATGCTTTACACAGTAGAACGTTTCTAACTAATTTCTTAAAAGTGTTAGAATTTTCTATTTTGCTGGTGATATGAAGATGATTATATAGTTTAAAGCAAAGGTAATTTGAGCTGGACTGAGTTTTACATATTCTTTTAAAGGGTAAGTAGATGCTGTTTTTATTTCTTGTGTCGTGATAATGTATATGAGAATGATTTTGTATGCTTTGATATTTAAATTTATGCACGTATGTGACTGACTCTAAAATAAATAATGACGGCATAGTTAAGATTTTTAATTTAATAAATGAGTTTCTACAGTCGACTCTATAATTGATACCACTAAGAATTCTGACAACTCTTCGCTGAATAGCAAAAAGGCGTTTACTCGCGTAAGAATTTCCCCACAGAACAATTGCATAAGACAATATACTCTGAAAATTCCCGTAGTATGCACTCATTAAGACGTTACTTGAAACAGTATTCTTTAAGCATTTAATAAGGTAACTCACCCTTGTCAGTTTATTTGCAACATTGTTCACATGTATGTTCCACTGTAGAGTAGTACTTAAGCTGACGCCTAGTATCTGAATAGTTGTATTATTTTTAATATCTCTTAAATCGCGGAGGCTATGCCATAGGGTTTGTGTTTTACTGTCATTTACAGCTAGCTGATTAGCATTAAACCATGTTTTTATCTCCTTGTTTGTATGGTATATTTTAGAATGAAGATTTTCAAGAGAGGTTTCGATATTTATGCTATTTGAATCATCTGCGTAAAGTATGAGATTATTTGCAGACACATTATCAAATAAATCATTAATAAATATAATGAAAAGGGTAGGACCTAAGATTGAGCCTTGGGGTAACCCGCACTTTACTACTCGTTTTTCTGACAAATTATTGTACCTTACATACACAAGAGCCTTAATTTTTAACAAAAAAACACTGCAATCTCGAATTGTATTAAATATTCACAAGGCTACTCAAACCGGACACCTATTAAATTTGGAGAAAGGGCACAAGTTTAAAAGTTTGGAATCAAGGTTAAGCGGCCATCCCATAACAGAAATTCTTTTGAGAGTATGTATTTATAATAAAAATTTCACACGCATTATTATGACTTCTTTCAAACGCTTCCATAAACTCATGAACACGATCTTCTACTTCATTTTATTTTATGTCACAAACACTTTCATAGTTATCATCTTATCAATTTCAAAGGAAAATATCTTCCCTAACACGATCTCGATTTATATGGCTTAGCCTTTGATGTCAAAGTATTTGGTTCTTGTTCTGCTTTGCCAGAAATCCATGCAACTATTCTTCACCGACGTTTTTAGTCTAAATACCGCTATTAGGTATTACATTGCTTCCAATGGATTGCGGTTACTAATTGGACAACAACCCAAAGATAGTCGATGTGTAAAACTCATTTAAGCGCCAAATTCAAACTGCCTGTAATCATTTCAAGCACCTTCCACAGTATAACCTTCCTTTTTTACCAAAAATCGACTACATCAAAATTTCTCGGGAAAACACTTTTTCTTATTAATTTGGGTGCGTAGAATCCAAATCAATTCGTACTTTTTCGATCAGACTTCTCAATCAAAAGTTATAGGCTAGAAACCAATTTCGAAAAAAAAATTCAAAGGGCTGTAACTTTTGAACTAGTAGCCCAATCTTGGAACTGTTTGAAATTATGGATTCTACAGGCCACATTCTATAAGAAAATTTTTTTCCGGGCCGATCTGAGACAATTTTTATTTCGGGGCTCAAAAAAAGGCAGTGTATAACCTTCCTTTTTTACCAAAAATCGACTACACCAAAATTTCTCGGGAAAACACTTTTTCTTATTAATTTGGCTGCGTAGAATCCAAATCAATTCGTACTTTTTCGATCAGACTTCTCAATCAAAAGTTATAGACTAGAAACCAATTTCGAAAAAAAATTCAAAGGGTTGTAACTTTTGAACTAGTAGCCCAATCTTGGAACTGTTTGAAATTATGGATTCTACAGGCCACATTCTATAAGAAAAATTTTTTCCGGGTCGATCTGAGACAATTTGTTTTTCGGGGCTCAAAAAAAGGCAGTGTATAAAGTTCCATGTCAACCACGTACTATGGAAAGTTTAACTACCTAATCTCCATTATCTTCTATATAAGTCCGCAAATAATAATAGGTTTGCTTTATTTCCTAGGTGTTTAATTAATTGACGTTTTTTACTTTTAACTTTGACAGTATCAAATCGTGTGTCTCATCAGACAGATTCGTTTTACCCTGAAACTCACATACCCAGACGATGTTCTTGATCAATTTTACTTGCAATTATTACTCCATGTACTATATGGTATAAGCGGCAATCCTAAACACAACAATCGCATAGCAACTTTGAGTGGCTGTCAAGTGTCAATTTTTTTTAACGCCAATTAAAGTTATCAAAATTTTAGTGAACATGAAGTGTATTAAAATATTTTAAATGAAAATGGAAACCCAAACAAGGTATAACATTTATCTTACATTTACTAAGTGCTTCATTAGTTCAATTCTAGATCCACCCCACAAGAATCTAATTCGACCACATCCTCAACCTTCAGTTTAGACAGGACCTCGCTTTCTGGTCATTGTACTTCATTCACGTTAGATGTCGAGTACCAATCCAAAACTCAGCAAACCGTTGAGTGCTCTAAAGTTGTCAACGACATCCAAGTACAATGTGCGCTGTTAATGGATGGCAACACCACAACGGTTGAAGGTGACGAACTAATTGGTAGACTGACCAAGCAAAAAATTGCTCCGTCGCGAGTGATCAAAGCGCTAAGGTGGTACCTGCTGAAATATGGTCGTGGCATTTTCATCAATCGTGGAATGCAAGCCGGCTTACACTTGGATGTTAAAAACACACCATCGCCAAACGAACTTCTAGATAACGTATACTCATCACTTCCCGAACCGTACATTGCAAACACCAAACCATCACAAAGCTTGGGATCTATCAACAAAAATGAATCTCAAGAAATCCCACGCAGAAGAAGTACATCACTCGCTACTGTAACCAGCGTGTATAGCGTTGTGCCTAAAGACGTGGATCGCATTAAGAAATCAAAGCAAAGATTTAAAAGCTGTATACCATTAGCAATAAAAACCACTTCCAAGAAATCAAAAGCACTTGTCAAATCCACCCCGCTCTCCCATTTACCAGTTCGACGCGGATTCGAAACGAAAGTTCCAATTTACAGCAACACCCTAGAAGGGGTTTGTAAAACAGTCGATTTCTCATCACAAATCGACTTGAAACCCAAGTACTTGATAACGCAATCGACTGAAACCCATGAGCACGTTCAACAGTTTAGCCAAACTGATGTACCAAACCTTGAGAACAATTTTATCGAGAAAATTCATGGAGTATTTAATAAGGGAAGCACCGTGTGGATTGCCATAAAGCAGTCACCTTTAAGTAGCTTCTCGATTAAGAGCAGCTGTTCGTTTAGTCACCATGTGGATGAAAAGTCCCGGCAGGTGGGACACGTAGAGTTTGCTTCAAGCATGGAGACCGTTGTGTGTAAGTACAAGAAGTCGGACAGTGAAAAGGTAAAACCAGAATCCAAAATTGAGGTGAACCCTTGGAACCTATCTCCCTCGTTAATGGATCGAGTGCGCTGCTATACGTCCTTGTCTAATGTACCAACGGATGATCAAAGGAGGATGTTGGGTCGCTGCCAGGCTCAATCAAGGAGCCGGCTAGTCTATTACGGAATGGATCAGAAGAAATCCCTAAGATTGCCGCATAGTGTGGGGAAGTCGTCGAAGGAACGAAACTCTCGAACTAAGAGGATGGCGCAGTCGGATCCCTCACTTTTTGGAATTGTTCGCAAGGAACGCACTACTGGGAGTGGAAAAGCACTTGTACGAAAAACTTCGAAACGTACCACACTAGCGTTGGCGCATAAGGCGGTTTCAGGGACAGACATCGATCTTTCTTCCTATGTGCAAGAACAGCCGCGAGCAAAACAGAAGGTTCAGGTATTGTACCAAAGCGACGCCTCCACGCTTACTGTAAGAAAGAAAGGGAGCAAGGCGCAAATGCAAAAGTGGGAAAAGAGCATCGTGCAGACCGAGAAGACCCTCCACAATTTAAGGCAGAAGATAACGCATTTGAATGAGTTGCTGAAACGCGGAGGTAAGGAAGAGATGTTGGGCATTCACTATTTTAACAGCGCGAAACGTTGCGTACGGAAGTCGACATGTCCTAATGTAACCCGTTCCATGATGTGCCAGACTACTCGGCATGCAAGTAGCCGTAACTACCAGGTAAACATTTTCAGTACTTTGACATTTATTGAAGTTGTTTGCAATTTCCTGGAAAATTCCTGTCATCTTACACCCTCTGTCAGTCGATCGGTGATAATAAACACCAACGTACACAAATATATCACATACTTACTAACAGACATTATTTCCTACAGACATACATCAGTTCAGTCATTGTGTTCTTTCGTTTAGTACCTACGTAATTGTTTAGTTTGTTACCTGCATAAATGTGAATTGATTATCGATCTTCCTCATATTATAATTTCTCATCCTGAACAACTTTTCTTGGATTTTGACGTGTCTTGAAAATATCCATTTTCAATTCATAACAAATGGAACAATTAAATAAATATTCGGTTGTAACATCAATCCTGGATCCCGATTCAAGCTCACAAAATGGTACTAAACATTTCGTTTTAAGACATATTGAGCCCAAAGCAGGAAGTATAGAAAATATAGCTATACACACTTTCGTGGCAGGAGAAGTGAGAAGTTAAAAAAGAAAAGTAAAACACTTTGCAAAATAATAGTGCTCAAAACTGCACGCTTTATTTAGGTATAATCCGTATAATACACTTCTTTTTACTGGTTTTTGCCAATACATTTAACAGTGCATGAGAGCACATTTTGTTGTCTGCAATCAAGTCATGGAACTTCTGCAGGCATTTTCATTTGATTTGCACTGTTTTATGTATTTTTGTAAATTGACGTGTAAAAATTGTGTGTTAATTATTTCTTCGAGTTATCAAAACATGATTACCGCTCCTTCTGAATGTCTTAAGGATAATTTTTTTGTAACAGTTTCTTGTTACCTAAGACTTGGTATGCTTACATGCAGGAGCTGGGATTCATTAAAAAGACAAGGTACATCCGCCTTTCTAGATTGGGTCGCGCGTGCCAGTTTGTGTCGGCACAATGAAAATTGGTGGCGATTTTTTTAAATCGCAACATGTAAAATTATTCGATGCGTGCTAATTCACTTTTTTATATCAACTCGTTTTAATATCTATGCGCGTTAATTACAATTTTCAGTAGCGCGAATGTGGAAAAGAATGAATATTTACGAATCAATACACGAGTATAATTATAAAAAAATGTTGCATATAATTAGAGTAAATAATAAGGAAGTACTGTACAAGGTTCAGTTCTTTTTTTGTACCCTTGACAGCTTTTTTTCTTTTTTAGAGGCGCGCGGCGGCGGAAGAAAGAGTTGAATGTCACAATCGCCAAAGGTGCCAGTGCATGAAGGACCCGCCTGAGAATTTTCCGCACGTTCCCTCGGTGCCCCTACACTTATTGGTGCCCCATAGTGTTATATAAAGAAAATAAACGTTTAGGTTGTTTATTTGCTAACGTGTTATGTACACAGATATTACAACAACTATGATCTCGCAAAGAATTCTTATAAATTATCACAATAAAAATGTGCCTGATGGTTAAATAATACAGCTATGTGCACATTTTCTGGAAATTGTGGGTAATACGGGGAGGTGCATCAATACTTTAGAAGAAGAGATCGCAATACTACCTACGCTACACTAAATAAAATAACAATAATAATATATTACATAATGACGACTTTATACAATGATGAGATGAAGCGTCCGAGGGGGAAGGGCACCAGTCACTTAGCCATTCCGTCGACGACGCCCTAAGGAAGATGTCTAGGAAAGCGCCGGTGCTTTTAATTTATTCACCGCGTTTGATAGGTGGAGTATTTCGGTGTTAAGTTGATGGACAAGCGATTCGAGTTTGTCGACGGAATCCAAAACTTCGACGCGGCCAGTGTGGGGGTTGAATCGGACCTCGAAGGGCCTCGACATTGTGGAGACCCAACGTCTGAACTTGTCTTTGGCATCTTCGAAGCTTTCGGCTACATAGTAGACGGGCTGGTACTCCTGGTCCTGGTAGGGTTGGACCGCCGTAGACGCCGGTTCGAAGGCTCGCAGCTCGGGTTTGTCGCTCAACGCGTGCAAAAGCTCGCCGTAAGAGCTTAAGAGTCCGGCACCGTACGCCTTAACCGTCCCTTGTTCCTTGCAAAGGCCAAATTCGACAGTAAACCAGTAAACCTGAATTAGAAGAGTTAGATCTAGTTTCTTAGAATGTCGCAATGGCGACCGCGTTTTACTTTTACGGTCACGCATACTTGCGACGCGACCATGACACAGTACTTACAGTGGATAATTTTTCAATTTCGGGATCCGAAGCGCCGAGCGATGCCAGGCCGATTTCCTGTGAGAATTGTGCAAAGCTGGGATCGGCGAGAAGCGGCATGTGTCCAAGCAGTTCGTGGATGCAATCTCTGCAATAAAAAGAGGATCGTTTTAAATCCGGTTGTAACTTCGTTAAATTAATAGCGCGCCCCGAGAGAGATTCTCGAGATATAATGGCTTTTATTATTGAATTACGCGCGCTTTGATCATTGCATTATGGATACTTACGGTTCGGGGGTGTGGTAGGGTGAGTTGACGTGTCGCACGTATTGCGTACTTTGGAAAATGCGGAAAGCGAGGGAGGCGAGAAAATCGCGCGCTGTTAAAAGACCGGCGGCCGGTCTCAGGGTGAAGCCGGTCTGCCGCCGGAGGAACGACGACATTTCCTCCAGCTGCGGAATTCTGTCGGGTACGAAGATGTTCTCATCCTGTAACATCTTGAAGACGCGACGGTATTCGATGCAAGCGTGCTTGGGCATCAGCTCCAAGACGGTGTTAAAGACGGATTGCCAGGTCTTGTTTTCGGTTTCGGTGTACTTAATGAAGGGAACTGGGTCGCCACTGTAAAACGCTAAGTTAAAATCCACCCCAAGTGAAGCTGACGGAAACTTACTACTTATAGCTGAAAGCGATTTCGGCGATTTCTTTGCGACGGGCCCGATACTCCTTATCTGCGAAACCGGGGTGGTTCATGTCGAGTTCAGGTTCGTATTTGGTCATAAGATGATTGCAGTTGTCCAAGTCACTGGCGTGTCGTGGAAACCAGGGATTCTTAGCGGATACGTTGTCATCGCCCAAAAGCGAAACGCTCAACAACGAAGACGACTGTCTCAAATTCTTAATCAGCTGAAGCATATTCTGACGGCCCATTACGATTTTAATTAGCACGTCCAACTGGTTACCATCATTTTGACTCGGGCGCGTCTCGAGATGGCAAACTATTCCCTGATACTTCTCGACGCTTTTCAAGACGCGCGAGAGCGAGTTCATCCCTTCGCGTAAACGTAGAATAAGCGCTGCCCTTTGTTGAGCGTCGGGATTTTCGCTGGCTGCATTTCCGAGCACGACTTCCTCTTCGGTAAGTCCACAATCTGTGTGAAAAATGAAAATCCCCGTCATATTTTATAAGAGATTAGGAGTAAATGGAGGGTGAAAATTGACTTTTGACATAAAAGCCGGACGTGGTTTCTTTGTGTAAATGCGCTCCACTTCTAACTTTGCTCTCAATGTAATTACGCTCGAGTGGCGCACTTTACTTTCAATTCGTGTAAAATTCCAAGGATTACATGCACATGCACAGACTTTACCTGCATTTTCATCGGTCGTTTCTGCAGTTTTTCTAGGTTTGTCATCAATATGCACCTCAGGTTCGACACTCGAATCTAGAAAGACACATCAACATGCAACGTGCAACACCAAAATCGCCAATTAAAAAGACTTACCATTAGAGCGAAGACGGGCTTCGTCTAATACGCTTTGTTTAGTTTGCTTCACGACCAAAGTTTCGAATCTGGCGTCGTCGACGAGGGAACGCCGCCTCGCAGGGTAGCCGTTCTACAAAAGAGAAAATCCTTTATTGTCTTCTGCAGGCGGAAGTGGTATCTCTTTCAGGAAATTGCCGTTTTCAACTTCTATACATTTGCGCTCTAATTCGTGACAATAAGGGGATAGGTGACCATGAAGAGGGAGGCTTGTCAGTGAACTCGCGGAATTTGCCTCGAGCAAGGTTTCTTGCATATGATCGACATTAAACACGCGTTCACTGGCCGTGATATCTTAAGACAACATTAATCCAATTTCATATGTAATTAAAAACTCGCTTGCGTCGCTTCTTCAACTTCATTGAATGAGTGTTACAAACGAAGACCGTTGTGAAATTGGCACTTGCAACACGCTTTCAATGAAAACTATGCACACGATTTGATTAACGAAATGAAGACGACTTACCTCAATGCTGTATGATTTCTTGATGGCGAACATTTCGCGATTTTTCTGTGCCGCTGCGACTGCTGCCATGGTGTTAATTGGTGATTTCAACAGTGGTAGTTTTCTCGCTGATGGAAAATGTGCCTTTAAAGCCTGCAAACACGCTGGTTTTCACTGCTTTTAATTAAAACACGATGTGTCTACTCAAACTCGACCACGATTTATTTATTACAAGAAAAAATAACCGTCTGTCGACTTGGTTAAGAATTACACACTTGCGAGATGAAGCAAAACCAATGGTTGTCAGGACTCCTGGGGTTTCACTTTTAAGTAGTCAAACCCCTTCTCCATCGCTCCCCACGCTGTGCGCCAGCCCTTTCATTGTTGCGAAAATTACTCGTCACGCCTGCGTCACGGTCGGTCACTGGATGCTGGGATCCCCAAGGTTTTCGAGGATACCCCTATCCACCTGCGTGTGTCATCCGCGGAGCCGTTCGCCGAATCTAACCGTAACGGTTTTCCAGCGCTTTTCAATTTCCGAATCACAACATGACCTACCGTAAAACCGTTTCACACGTGCCCGTTTGATTATGCAGCGCTTGCTTAAAACTAGATTAAACTTGAATCTTGACCTCTTATCTACTGCTGTACATACTAATTATTTAATCATCAATATTGTATTTTTTAAATTCGTTTTAGTCCAAATGAGATTCACTTCCGATTCCGTTCCTGTAGTTATTGTATGACCGTTTAAAAATTAAGAAAATAATCCATTAACTGAATGGTTTTTTTCGGGGAAAATTAAAAAAAATTCCTGGAATTTTCATTGATTTTATTTCGGACGGAATAAATAAGTCTACTACTGTTAAAATCTGTGCTCGTGCATAACTTTCTGTAACCATAGATTAATTTGTTTTTTAATCTATGCTGAAACGAAGCAATAAGTTTCACAAGGAACAATCGCAGCGAGGACGGCCGAAAAGGCATAACCTTGGAAACTCTAACCCCCACGTGGTTTTGAGTGCTGTCAGAAAATGTCGATAATTCTTAATCTCCTGCACCTGGGAAAACCCGGATCGTACAGGTAATACCAATCAATTATAATAGACTGTCAATCACTATTAAGGTTAATTTGGTGATGATAAAAAAAAGGCGGTGGTGGCTGCCACCAAAAGTCGTTCCGGTTATATAACTCCAAAAAACTTGAAAGTAAAAAAAAATTTTCCAATTCAGTGTCATTTTACGCGCTGTTTTTCTTTTACCTTCCCAATCTAATTAATATCATTGATAACCTTACTTTTTGAATCTGTTGTAGGTATATTTGTCTATGACTAATAATCGCTTTCCGGTAGAAACCTTGTTCCAAATCAATCAATTCTTACATCCCAGAATGAATTTACCTACAAATTATTCCAATGGAAGTTTTTCTTATTATCAAAGATCCGGTGCGGAACTGGCGACAAAATATGCTTGTCATTATTATCACAACGACTTGTGAGATCATTTTTTTTATGTTACGTAAATATTTTCGGCACGATGGAAGTTTTTATTCTCAAGCGGTTAATTATATTCTTATTAAACTGGTTTCCAATTACTGTAGGTAAATATTTTTTTGTAGCGATTGACTGAAAAGTGTGCCAGAATTCGGGAAGCCTGCACAGGGTTACTTCGGACTTGCTTTCCGCTTCGTAAGATACATTCGATAATAATTAACGAAATGAAATTCTGGAAAAATTTAATCGGCTCCAATGTATTTCGTAAATGAAATGTAAATTTTATGTATAATGCATCGCCGGAAGACAGGCGAGCTATTAGTAGGTGCTGGTGATCAATCAAAAGATGACCATTTACAAGATCAAGGACCATTTAAAATCGTTGTTTAGGTAACTTAATGCGACAGGCACCAATTAGAGACACGTCTAATTTTTTAATCTTGAACTTGAATGAGCAATTTTAGGAACCATCCGTGCTTGACTTTCATGAACTGATGCCCAGTTGCACCATCAAAATTAAGCCTTGCTTAAAGTTAAGTCGAACTTAAAATCTATGACGGTGCAATTGGCCATGAGTAAAATTGGCTCAAACGGGAAGAAATTATGTAATGCACATCGCCCTTCTTTCGTTTTTCTAGGACGATAAAGAATGTTAGTCAAATTTGGTTACCAACTAGCGTTACAACACTTTTTTGTCACATTTTGAAACCTAAAAAAATATTGTTGGATATTCCAAAATACTCAATAAATCGTTAAAATGGTCTATACGAAAAGGATTAATAAACAGCATAGTGTAGCGTCTTCGTTCTCGAATTGGAAGATTTTTCTAAAAAACTATGATTCTTACAGTTTTAGGGAGATTTCAAAGAAGGTCCGAGAATTGCTACATAAATGTTTCAATTAAAATTCCTTAGGAACGTTTTTCAGAAAACACCGACGACATGTTTATAAAGGGTTTGAAAGATCCAAATTAATGTTTCTAACCCTAAAAGATGTAAAGTTATCTTGCATTTATCTAAAATTGTTTCAATATCCTAATACAGTTATCCTAGGTAATTTCATAAATTTAGAAAAATGTTTAGAGGTTTCTAAGGTTACTTACAAAGACTTTTATACATTCTAAAAGGATTTCTAAGTAACTACGAGGAAAATGTTTAAGGAAGCACACAAAATTCTGATCACAGAATTTCTAGCTGGTTACAAGAATATTTTTAGAGAAGCATAAAAAAGTTCAAGATGACTTTGAAGAATATTTCTAGAAAGGATTTTTTAAATATTCGTCTAATTTATCATAAGAGTTCTCTAGAGAGTTTGAGAAATTGATTTCTGTATACCATAAATGTAATTACTGCAAGACGATTTCTAGAAACTTCTGGAAAACCGTTCAAGAAATTCCCTATAGACAGTTTGGTTAAGGATTTCTAGTCAGCATTTCAGGAAGACGCAAAAAAGGCCCTTCTGAAGGTTTACAAAAGTTTTCATCAAAAATATTTATCAGCTCATTGCCTATCAACGTCGAATGTACTCTTGTCGTAACTGATTGAATGCGCTCTTTGTATGTTAGGAGTAGTTAGTAACTTTGGATTAATTGGATATGGGTGTGATTTTGGCATTGTAGTTTTTTAATGTATCGTTCGTGTAATGAGCATTAACCACTACCCGGCCAGACTCCCTTGTGAATAGAATATAAATAGACTTTATTTTTCTTGTCAGAATAAATTTCAATCACATTCATTCAAAACGTTTAAGTTCACTCAACAAAATTGTGGAAGTATACCAACTCAAAACGAAATACCTGAAAGCCTGGAAAAATCTGTGCGTGTGTAATGTGGAAATATAAACACGCCTAAAAATGAAAATATTTACTATTGCTACTTGTATATACAAATATCTGGTACATTACGATATTATTTTCAATTGTTATTTTCTGCTGCCGGAAATGCCAACACAACCCGCAACATTTTTTCTTTTCATGAATAGGAAATTTGGTTTAAGTGCGACAAAAAACCACCCGAACATACTTGCATAACATAATATAACGAGCGCGTAAGGGAACATTGATGTGGTTTAATTAAATTCTTTAAACTTTGAACCGGGGTTTAATGATAAAGTACACTCGAAATGACATCTGACACGTTTATTTGCACTCCATTGGAAGCTATATTAATTATAATTATATTGATCTGAATTTATGGCTTAGTCGGCATTTCTAATTCCTTTGGAATTATAAAATTCGCCTGTTGCGAACTATGTGCTCTATTTTAAGGGGTATTTTTAATTGCAAGGCTTTTATCGCACTTTTTATCGTTCGCTGTCTGTAAACATGATTTTTATAATATACTCAAACTGCATCTGCTGTTTGATTAATCCATGTACGTAAACTGATAGGTCAAGGCTAAAAATTAATTACAGAACACGGTATTAGGAACACGGTATTAGGAACACCGTGCTTTTAAAGTGTCTATTGAAATATGTAGATCTGTTGATAAATATAATCAATTAGTAAAAAATATAATATTGAAGTTCAGAACAGAATACAATATTGTTTCCATGGACCTATAGTTACCTTACGGTTTTCTTCTTATCAAAACAACTCTAACCCTTGAGTTAATACTACACCCGTAAATACCAAACATCCAGTGCAAGTAATTGGCAGCGCTAAAAGCAGTTTCAGAAAACAGCATTTTTTAGTTACTTTTATGTTTGTCGTTTCAGTACAAATATAGCAGTTTCATTACAATTTGCCTTTATTTTCTGGTGTATAATGTATTGTAGAAAATAGAGGCATCACCATTAAAGAAATTTTTCATTATTAAATAGAAAAGCTCCGGTGGAGCTCTCTCCCTTACCTGACGCAAATTAGTAAATTTTCGGATTTATGGACAGTGTAAATACACAAAAACCTCATACGTTTAGCAATTTCGTTTGGAAAACGGACCTGTTTGATAAGCAAAAAATCAACTTTATAAAGGTTTTGTTGTAGGTGACTGGTTCTTGTGAGTATTTTGTCTGTACCTTGCATAAAACCAGAAATTTATTTGGAAAAGCTACAATTCGGATATCCCGCATTTACAAATTGTGACTCTACTTCTTACATTTTCAACTTATGCAGTATCACAAAGGCGTGTGATTTTAATATATATTTTGCGTACAGAATTTCATTTTCTACCAATAATTTCCAAGCTAGGACACGCCAGAATAACACATGAAAATTTACCAGAGATACTTTCGTTAATGTCCGTAATGTATTTCAATGCAGACCGCATTATTTAATAATATTGCGGCTATGAACTAGTGGGGACTATTTTGAGCATTTAATAAACAATCAAAACGTGAAATGTGTAGCATTCATTTATTTTTTATTTGCATTGGTTTTTTCAAAATTAATTCATAGTTTGATTTTGTGTGTATTCTTGTAAATGTCTTTAAAATGACGTGCCACTCGATAGGGGGTGCATATTATAATCTTTCAGTGGGAATAGCTGGGGATGCGACGGTGAATGATAAAGCTTCCATTAAACTTCCCCATAGCAATCTAAATGGACGTGTTCTTGGAATTTTTGTTTTTTTATCAATAATACAAATTGCAATCGGTGGTTCATTTTGAAATGAAAGCCCTGTGCGTTCTCTTTCTTCTACCACCTTACGCTTGCACAATGTACCTACTTGGTTCGGTTTCTTCCTACAATTAATTTTCTTAGGTACCCTATTCGCTTGCGGTTTGATATTATAAAAATAGGCATTGACCACTGAATAAAAAGTTACAAGTTGTCAATAATGACCTTTTCCTCATTGAATAACAATGTTAATTTCGGAAACTAA